CACACACACACACACACACACACACACACACACACACACTGACAGATGCGACAGAGCAAATAAACTTTTCTATGCTTTAAAAATATGCCAAGTTTTCAACTATCAGCTCTTTGGAGACACATCGCTAATACTGAAATATTACTTTGTTTTCGTCAAACTGCTATCTTTGATACTTATTTTGGACTAAGTAAAAAAAAGAAAAGAAGAAGAGGGCAACAATAATTAAAACAGACAGCTACTTACAGGGTAGTTTTCCTTCTGCACTGATTGCCACTCCAAACTGAACGGTGGCGCTAATGCGCTGTGAAAAAAAGTTTGTTTGCTGCAATTAGAAAGACGAAGAAGAAAGACCGTGCGTGAGCTACAAGCTAATCGCTAATACAGGAAAAGGCAAGTGTACAAACTGGTAACACCAAAGCTTTAATAAAAGACGCCATTTACGACAACGAGAGGTAATTGCAAGCTATTTTAACAGACATTTTGTTACTCTATGCTATTTATCTTACATTGAACACTACAGATTGTTGTATAGAGATATTTAAAAGAAGCCTTTTTTTAGCCCGATGAATTGCTGACCGGCTAATCAACAAAGACTGGGTTGTCATACGAATGACACCAGGCGTGTATAAACTTTATGTACACGTTTAAGCCACTCATGGCTTGTAAAAATGTTCATTTCAAAACTTTGAGTTAGGTAACTAGTTAAAATATGGATACTGACAACAAGTAAGGTGTTAAGCACATGACTCGTTAGCTATCGATAGCATGTCGGCCATTATTATTTTAATATACAGTTTCTTTTTTTCTTCATTATACGCAGTTTTAAAATGAATGAATTAGTCTTTTGTTTCGTTTAAATTTTAATTTAGCGACTGGACTTACCAACCAGACAAACGGGTTGGGTTGGGTTGGGTTGGTTTGGTTTCAGAAGAAGGCCTCGGACACCAATCCAAACAGTTTGCAGCTCTTTTAAATTTTATTCATAAAATTATTTATTTATACGTCCGTACTTTAGCTTTACATTCACAAAACGTCGGTCAGAGATTGTGTTAATGGTTTATTATTTTTAAAATTATTTTTATTTATGTATTTATTTATCATTTCAAGATACCAGTGATAAAAACATGACAGTCAAGCTGTAGGGATGGGCCAAGCAAAACTACTCATCCAATTTGCTGATCAAGTTTATTAAAAAAAGAAAGAAAAAAAGTCCATCCCTGATTTATTTCCCACAAATTGCAATTAGAAAATTGAAGTTTTTTTTCATAGAATTAAAAGTTGTAAAAGTCTATTTTACATTTTTATCAGATAAACTACCACTGAAATACTCAGGTTTGCGGTTATCAATAAAACTCAAGTAAGCTCTAGATTTGACGAGACTTGATTTTTATTTGTTTAAAAGTGGTTTTAATTTGTAATAATAGCAGCCAATATCTTACAGGATTTAAAAATAAAATGGTTAGAATTTATTAATATTAATAATGTTTATAAAATATTGACAATAATATAATATTCAATTTAATTAAAAAAGTATTCATTTCATTAAAAAATAACTATATACAATAGAAAACCAAGAAAAAACACAAATCAAAATAAAATGAATATATAAAAGATATAGTCATGTTCTCTTGTTTGTCCTGTACATAACTTGCTCTAGATTTGATGAGACTTGGTTTTATTTGTTTAAAAGTGTTTTTAATTTGTAATAATAGCAGCCCATTTCTTAGAGGATTTTAAAATAAAATGGTTAGAATTTATTAATATTAATAATGTTAATATTTATAAAAAATTGACATAATGTAAGAAATATAGTCATGTTCTCTTGTTTGTTCTGTACATAACTCCAACCCTTTTTGTCCATATAAAATGTTTCACTTACACACAAGGAGGAAATCAAGTAGGTGATAGTTTATTTTTGCAAAGCCAAAGGATTACTATAACTGAAATGTTAACATTTTGTAATAATATTGCCATATCTCTAATGTTAATTGTATTAAAGTTGTTCATATCTTTTGTTTTAAAGCTTTCAGGCTTGGATCCAAGGTCCTGTGCCATTTTTCTTTGTCTTGAACTCATCATTACTCCTCTCATGGCTGCATCCCATGTTTAGAGATTTGCTTTTGTCTAAATTAAGGAATTGGCTGCGGAAGGACTAAGTTTTGGAACTGAGAATAGGATATGGACCATTTCCACAGCCATTTGTGAAAAGCAAGAAGTGAACTTACATTCTACAGTTGCTCCTGTTCTGTGTCAGCAGTGCCACCCACTCAAACAACATGTCTGACGGCCGCATCTATGTTGGGAACCTCCCTGTGGATGTTTCGGAGAGAGACATTGAGGATCTCTTCTACAAATATGGAAAAATCCGTGAAATTGAATTGAAGAATAATAGAGGGATCATTCCCTTTGCCTTCATCAGTTTTGAAGACCCGCGGTGAGTTTTTGGGATGGTGTTTGGCAAGTCAAATCACATTCCTCTTTTCGGACACACCTTAAAATTTATGATAGTGTCATCAGTGACCGCCAACACGGAATGGACGGAGACAGCAAATCCAACCTATGCTCGCCAGGAGTACATTGGTAAGGGGTTCTTTGCTCTCTTCTCTTAGGGATGCAGATGATGCTGTTTATGGAAGGAATGGATATGAATATGGGAACACCAAGCTGCGTGTGGAGTATCCACGAGCCAATACTGGAAAACCTGGTCCCATGGCAGGCGGTGCTGGAGGTGGACAAAGAGGAAGGTTTGGACCCCCGACTCGGAGATCTGAATTCCGGATCATAGTGACTGGTAGGTGGATGCCATGAGTGGTGGCCAGTTAATATTATTCTAAATTTCGGTACAGTCTGGAGGACAAGGAGACTGATAGGAACAAAGGAGTCATAGGCAGATACGTTTCCATTCTCATGGCGGACTGGAGGACAAAGATCTAGTAGATGGAAGTTCTAAATCATAGGCAGATAAGTTTCCCCTCTCTCATGGTGGACTAAAGACAAAGGATCTAGTAGATGGACATTCAAAGTTGTGGACAGACATATTTCTCCTCATGGCGGACTAAAGGACAAGAAACTGGTAGATGGACATTCTAAATTGTGTGCAGATATAGTTCTCATTCACATGGCGGACTGGTGGACAAGGAACTAGTAGAAGTTCTAAATCGTAGGCAGATATGTTCCCCTCTCATGGCGGACTGAAGGATAAGGAACTACCAAATGGAAGTTCTAAATCGTAGGCAGATATGTTCCCCTCTCATGGCGGACTGGAGCACAAGGAACTAATAGATAGAAGTTCTAAATCGTAGGCAGATACAGTATGTTCCCCTGTCATGGCGGACTGGAGCACAAGGAACTAGCAAATGGAACTTCTAAATCGTAGGCAGATATGTTCCCCTCTCATGGCGGACTGGAGGACAAGGAACTAGTAGATGAAAGTTCTAGGTAGTAGGCAGATATTTCCTCTTCTCTCATGGGGGACTGGAAACTATTGGACATTCTAAGTCAGGCAGAAATAGCTTTCATTTTCATGCTGAAGTGGAAAACAAGGAACCACTAGATGGAAGTCGTAGACAGATATGCTTCCCCTCTCTCATGGCGGATTAAAGGACAAGAAACTAGTAGATGGACATTCTAATCAGATATGAGACGTTCTCATGGCAAACTGGAGGACAAGTGGACTGGTTATAGGGCATCTTGAGTCATAGTCAGATACGTTTTTTTTCTCATGGAGGATTGGAGGTCAAATGGATCAGGTCAAGTCCGCGTCTAAAGTCACGAAAAGTAAACTGAAACCGGTCATGTTGTCTGAATAATCCCAAAGTCCAGCTATAGTGAATGGAAGGTGGGTTTTTGTTTTTGTTTATTTGTGTTCTACACCTTTGTAAATGTTACTGCAACTCATGTAGGGAAGACCGGGCATGGTTGTAACACTTTTTGCTTCACCATATATAGCTCTTTGATTTTTTGGAGATATTCTCAAACTTTTATACAAAATACTCACATGAGTTTACTACAATTGGTACTGATTGAAAGTCCTGTAAGTACATCATAGACTTTATGTCAAAGACACAGAGGCTCTTTGTTACAAATTACCCCAGTAGTGGGGTAGGTTGTAACACATGCTGGGGTGAGTTATAATAATAATAATAAGCCAAAAGAAGCAAAAATAGAGGCTATGTTGTAGATTTTATTTTATAACAATTTTGTTTGAGGAATACAACAACTCAGAACAATGTTTGTCACTTTTTTCAAATAATGTCCAACACCCATTTTAGTTCTTCCCCTGGCTAATTTGTCAGTCTGCTGCTAGACAAATAGTCATAAGATCTTTTCTTGTGCCTCAGAAAACTTTTCTAGTTTTGTAACAAACACTGGTAAGATCACTGGATCCCTATTTCCTCAGAGTCTGTAGTGATTTGCAGTATCTCATCAAATCCCTTCTTTCTCCACAGATCTGACGGGCTATGTGTGTGTGTGTGCTATGTGATTGTGTTACAAACCACCCCACACCTGTCAGCCATTGTTTAGCTAGCTGTATTAGCATTGAGAAGATACCTTTTCAACTTACATCAGTTTTATGATTCTAGCTGTAACTGGGTAGACACCATACAAAAATATACCTTTGGTTAAAAAAAAACAACTTTCTTACCTCAAAATCATTTTTCTCCTTAAAATTTGAACACACCAACTTTCAACCCTGATATCCACCATGTGAGGTTGGGAAGATAGTGGCTTAATATTGATATAATCACGACTTATCTGTTCTCCAAATGGTCAAACTGATGGCATTGTAGCTCACCCCATGTTACAATCATCCCCAGTTTCCCCTACTTGAACTGATATACTGTATTTCATAAAGCTTGTCTTAACTGGTCATCCCTCATGCTACATCATTGTAGAATTACATCTAAATAAGTTAGAGACGTGACAATGTTTATCAGCAATGTTTTTCTTGGCTCTATTAATTCTCACTAGTCTAACCTGTAAGGTCCGATAACTATTAAATGGGATCTAGCATATTCTGTCAATAAAATTCTTGATGGGCATAGATTTGATGCATTTGTTTTAATCTAACAGTAGTTACCTACTGTGTAGCTGTTTTTCCACGTTTTTGTCCAGTAAACTTAAATTTTTTTATTTTGTGTTTAGTCGTCATAAAACTGAAGGTTTGATTAAACCTATCATGTTTTTCTGTAGATTTTATTTTATTTTTTTTAGAAAAACTATTTCTCCTTTCCTTATTTCCTGTTTGCACACTCTAGGGTTACCCCCATCTGGGAGCTGGCAGGATCTGAAAGATCACATGCGAGAAGCAGGAGATGTTTGTTTTGCAGATGTGCAGCGAGATGGAGAGGGCGTAGTGGAATATATCCGCAGGGAGGACATGGAGTATGCTGTACGCAGATTGGATCGGACCGAGTTTCGTTCACATCAGGTAAGAAACGCTAATGAAACGATGGCATTTGTTCTTTGCTTGTAGACGGTGATGGGAAATTAGATCTTTTTGTGTGTGTGTGTCTTTTCGTAGGGTGAGACCTCTTACATCCGTGTGTATGAAGATCGAAGTAGTTCCAACTGGGGCGGTGGCCAGGCACGCTCTCGCTCCAGATCCAGAGGTCGCTACTCTCCTCCCTATTTTAACAGAGGGTCTCCCCCTCCTCGCTATCAGTCACCTCCACGCCAGGCTATGCTACGCCATAGTCCACCTCCCAGGAGGCACCTGATGCCGCATCACAGCCCACCTCCACGCCATTTTCGATAGAGAGCTCCTCACATTTACATAACGTGGAAGAAATGTTTTGCAGTTCTGCATTTTATCTTTTTTTTTTTTTTTTTTTTATAAAACCTCAGGCCTCTTTGTAAGATGCAGTGAAATGTCTTCATCCATACATTCCAGGCCAGGAATCCCACATCATCCTGCTCCTCCCCACAGCCTTGAGGTTATTACATTTAACACCCATGCTTAACCTGAAAGCAGGATTGTATTTAGATCCTCCTACCCAGTCGTGCTAATCCTGGTCCTCCAGGACCACTACCCTGCATGTTTTAGTTGTTTCCCTGCTTCTTTTTGCAGAAACCTGTTAGGTCACCCTTTCGTTCAGATCATGTGTGTTGGAAGCAGAGAAACCTCTAAAACCTGCAGGATAGTGGCCCTCGAGGACCAAGATCTGGCACCCCAGTTCTAACCCCTTAAATGTTTTTTTTTTTAATAATAATTATTAGTTGTGACAGAAATCACAGTGCTCTTGTCGTTTTTGAAAACAAATTACACAAATCTGTATCAGACTGCTCGATGATGTTCAAGTTAATTTTTACAAGTTTGAATTACTCTTAAATAGCGCTTCAGTTCTCAAGTTTAAACCTGTGAAGTTAATCAATAAAAATTAGCGAGCCTTTTTACTTCTGATTGTAAACCTTGTTTTTTTTATTTGTAAGTTAATTGAGGTGACCTGTAGGTGGAATATAATTTGTATTTTTTTTTCTTTACCAATAAAAAGTAAACTTTTACTGGAATAGTTCAATTTTTTAAATCAAAGACTCTGCTATCCTAGTGTAAACAGCTTAGTCATAACTGACCATTTGACAAGTTCACAAAGCTTTTCTTCCCCTTCGAACTAGACCGTGGGATAGCCACAAGTGTTCCTAAATTTGACCTTAAATTACCTCTGATCTTACTCTGAGCAAAGTAAGCATCAAGTTGTGGCAGAGAGTTACTATATTTAAAAAGGTGCATTTTGTGACAGAAAATGACTGAAAACAAATTAAAATGTAAGCAAACAAAATAGATACACTATTTCATGAAATTTGCAACTGGATACAAAAAGTTGTATTCCATTTTCTCACACTAGTGTGGTTGGAATATTGTGCAAGATAGGCAGAGGGTATAAGATAATTATTAACTGTTATTTCAAATAATTAAACGGACCTGATTGTTTCCAAGTATTTGTTACAGTGGGCACCTTTCCAAATTGCAATTCGCAAGAACTATAGCTAAAAAATAACCCTCAGATAGATAGATGGACAGATAGATATAGTGGCCAGTTCCTGTACAAGCTTCAAAATCCACATTTTCTGATGTTTTAAAAATCTGATGATTCTGTGATTTCCATGACTTCCTAATGTATGAGTTTTAAAATAACAGGGCATGTGTGTATATATTATATGAACTTTTAATTTGCAACATTTTCAGAAAAATACACAAGGCACAAAAGATGCAAAATATAAGATTTTTAATACACAGTAAATTAATTAAACTTAGTGACCATTTTAGAAGACAGAAAAAAATAAATATTTCTAAATTTACCCCCCCCACCCAATATTATTTGACCAAACTCATATACAGACATTGTATTGCATTTATTAACAATGTACCGTCTTAGTACAATAGATCTGCATCATTTCAACACATTTTATATCTTCTGACCACAATACACAGGTAGCGATACTCAAGCATGTTTGAGACCAGATGGAGACACATTTGAACTGAAGCCACAATGAAACCAGCACAAGTGTTTTAGATATTTTGCATCTGTTAAGTGGCACCAATAAACCATTTGGTAGCTGACACACCTATTAGATTTTATGTTTATCTTTTTAGATATTTGTTATTGTCTCCCTTTTTAAAAAAAATGGTGTATTGACATCAAAATCTATAGAGCATATACTGGCTTTACATGTTCTACTTCATATTTCATCACTTAAAGCTGAACAGGTTAAATAGGACATAATTTCACTCTGTGCGTAGTGTATATTTGAGTGGAGTCAACACCAAACACCATCAGTTAATATGTTAGAAAATCTTTCATTTACTTTTCAAATTTGTTGGAGATAACTTTCTTCATTTCTTTAAAGATGATTCACCAACCAATTCCCATGGGAAAACTGAGTTTAAGACCAGACTTTCAGACTAAAACAGCTTTTTCTTAACCATTTTCTGAGTCAGCTCAATTTACTGTGTGTGCTGCTGTGAGCTTTCTGATTCAGTACTAAAAATTCTTTACAAACGTTACGGTAAATTCTGTGCATACAATAATTTTCAACCCTTCTGATGCCCTTAGGTCAAAATGACTCAAGGCCTTAGTAATCATCCTGTTTTACTCCCCAAAATGAACTGCTCTAACGCTACAGAAGACAGCTTTTGTTGCTATAATCTTGATGCATTTTGGCCAAACTGCGTCAAACCCTTTTGTTAGAAAGTGTTCAAAACTGGAAGCCTGAATAATGTACAGAAAAGCCAATCCAGTTCTCGGTTTAAATGTTTATTCTCAGATATAAAAAAGTCCATTTCATCCTCAGAGCCTGTGTATGTGGCCCTGAGACCAATCAAAACAAAATGGCTTCTAATCCTTCTGCTGCTGCTCTAAGCTTACGTGTCCTTAGCAAACCATAATATTTATGGTCACACACCTGGGGGCAGTACCTCTAATGTCAGCACTGAACTATAGAAAACATTACTCTATCGCTGCTGAAGGGAGACATATTTAAAGAGACGTAAATAACTGCAACCAATCGCAAATTCTAAAATAGAAGACTGTCTAAAATTCAGTTTATCAGTCACAAAATTTCACTCAATTCCTTTATGTCAAGAGATTAGTTAGATACAGTCTTAAATTTTATAATTTGTAATTGTTTGCAGTTACTTTGAATATTTTCTAATTGTTCCACAAGACATATCATTTCAGCTTGTAAAGGATAATAATTTGTTTTATCTTTATTGACCTGGATTCCCAGGAGGAAATCAAACGTATATAGTTACATATACATTTTAAGTTAACTTGGTTTTTTTTTCAGACTGTTAAAACATTATCCTTGTAGCTGAGCACACATTTGAAGCAAATTTATTAACCTGAACTAAGAAGTGTGCCGTTAAGTCTTCTGGTAAACCAGGAGCACCATGTGAAATAAAATCAGAACCATCTGTTCTTTCAAAGTAAATAAAGCCGGCACGATGGGTGATGATGTCAAGGCAAACACCAGTTCCACAGGAAATAAAATACAAAGAAACTGAAAAAAACAGAATGTGAAATACTCTGTTTCGCTTAAATGAAAAGCTTAAAAGACGAGCGTGTAAAACTGGATTCCAGGAGGTGTGAATCCAGACAAACTGAGGTCAGAATTTATGATTGACAGCATTTGCTGCAAATCAGTTTGGCAATAAAAACAAAGAAGCAAGATGGAGAAAAATTGCTGCTATAAATGCATTTTACCAATCACAACAGTTCTCCTACTGATGCGTGAAAACAGAATCTGTCAGTGCTACACTTGTTTTATGAGAACCACTTGTCAATGAATTCAGCTTGAGCAAACAAAAGTACATAGCAATAATTCCTATGTACATTCATAGTAAAAGTATTGTAACATATGACTGCACATGCTAATTCCAGAAAAGCATCGACCTGCACAAAATACAATCTGACATCTGCGTCAAAGGATGAACATCAGCAGGGTGAATCACTCTTCATCCAATGCACAGAGGATGTCAGAGATAGAAGGAGCTCACAATATGTGGACTTGGTCCGGTACCAGGGGATGTTTATGCCATGTCTTCTCAAACAAAAATGTGTGTCCGACTTGTGTGCAGAAATGGGTTGGTTAAAAAGATGAGCGTGTGGTGCACAAAATGGCCCTTAGGATGCAACCCAAAGATGAGTTTTAGCACAATCCTTTAAAAATTAACCCTCCTCCTGCCCCTTGGGTCCAAATAACTGTGTGTTTGACCCAGGAGCAGCAGGAGGGTTAAGAACCAAACCATCTGTTCACATCATATCCTACACCTGAAAATAATTCAAGTTTAGCACAAAATGTTTAACCATGGTATCTACAGTTTCAGCTAAATAACAGCATTACAAAAACTGTGATTAAGTGTATAACAAGATGCGCAACTTAGTGATAGTTCAGATCTTTTAAAGTAGGGTTTGGTGAAAAAGTTGTGAAGAATTCAAGTCTTAGCTCTTTGAGTGCCCTCTGGAGAAAAATACTTTAATTCTGACTGATTACATCGTAATCAACATGAAACAATAATTTACATAAATCTTTACGGGAATTTAAAAGCACCAATAGTGGTACCAGCAGCTAGCGGTAACACTTCTGGTGCAGCTTGAGGCACTATCAGCAGATATATATTTCTTTCTAATTAACTATAGAGTATAATATAATGCATATGGCAGTGGAAATATTTTTCTTGTAAAATTTTGAAAACTGGAGCTGCTTCAAGTCCACAATCTACTTTGGTCTTGGCCAAATGCATTTTAGGTACTTTGACTGTTCAAAGAGCTACCAACAAGAGGTAAGATATTACCCATTCATAACCTTTCCACAGAACCTAGAAATTGTCTTTAATGCCATTTTATGGCTCATATAACGCACCAAACTATCCCTTTAAGGATTTTTTATGGCAAAAAATAAACAGATGTAAGAATTTGTTGTTTTATCCATTAAAAAAACAATTAAATGTAAGGCTAAAATATTACCATCCTGAAGCAGAGTCAATAAGGGTACATTCACTGGGTTAACAAGAACACTCCAAAAATAAAATTCCATTGGCAACACCTCCCAAAGATAAAGAGGAGCAACTGAGAGAAGTTGTCTTACAACCACTTTTTTAGAATGAGCAGCTTTAATCACTGCCTATACCTAACGTTAATGTCTCTATTTGAATATGTTGCAGATATTTGAGACAACGGAGCACAACAATCAAAGGATCATAAATGGCAGCAGCCTGCGTTACTTGTTTTCTATGAGAGTCTGGACTTTGTGGACCAGGTCCCGGGCCTTCATCAGGACCTGCGGGACATTGTGCCGCTCTGCCATTTCTAAAAAGAGAAGATAGAAATGAGATCATAGGTTCCTAAATGACAAAAACGAGTCTTCCCTGATTGGTCGGTTGTTTATTTAAAATGATGACACATGTAATCATCACCTCTTACCATTAAAGAACTTAATGATGTCTGTGAAGTCCATGTTGTTTTCCAAGATGATGTCTCGATACATCTCCACGAGCGCCAGGGCGATGAAGAGCACAAAGTGTTCAGAGGAGGTGCGCTTGGCCGCCCAGATAGTTTCCCACACAGAGAACACATCGTCGTACACCATTTCTGTTCAGAAATGTCCAACAAAACAGATCAGAGAAAATTAAATTTCACGCGAGGTTAGGTTTGACCATCCCAGACTTCCCCACCCTACCTCTTTTGAAGTCGAGAAGAAACCAGCGGTAACAGAAGTAGAAGTGTGTGTAGTCTCCATTCTGCTGCATCAGCTCAAACAGCTCAGAATCCAGGATCTGCTCAAAGAAATACAGTACAGCAAACTGTTAAACAACACCGCAGCTTGGGTTAAGATAATTTAATGCAGCCTATGATCGTAGAACATCCTGAAATATAAGTCAGGCTGAGTCTCACTGGTCCTCTGGATCATGTGGATCACAGTGAGATTTCTGTGGACTAGGCTTACTCCAGCAAAATCCAACCAGGTTCCATTAGATTTGTGCTTTGTAGAGTTTTTGAGTCAATGTCTAGCTATTTTTGTTATTGTTGTTTTTGTTTTTTTCAGACAAATAAAGTTGCAAAAGAATTCATGCAGACATGTTTGTCCAGCAGTAGCAGCTCATCGATGGTATGGTAAGTTTGGGATGAAAAAAAAAAAACCATATGAGAGGGGGCCTCATAAGTGGGCCCATTGCTCTCCTCAATAAGACACTGAGCTTTAATCAAACCTTCACTCGGATGAAACAAGTGTTCTGAGCTTCTTGGGATTCATAAAGGGGTCCCCAAGAATTATTTTCCTTTGATTGCTGAGAGCCAGGCAGTGGCCTAAGTAGTGCAAATAGGTCTCTAATTCAATGCCACAGTTATGACACAGACCAATGTCATGGAGTCCCGTCATAATTTAGTGGTGGTTGAGCAGACTGTTCCCAAGTAAAATGATTTATATTTTTCACAAATTTAAAAACGAAACTATTTAAAATCACAGGGAGCCAATTTTATAAGTAGTTTATTTTCACAACAGCATACAATAAATCACAGGCTGTCATTTTAACGGAGCCACAAAGCATGAACCTACTTGTATAAGTGAGCGCATGTTTGCGAAGTGAGTGTCCATGGCTCCCCCATGAGGAAAATTTTGGTTCATCCTCTTCATGAGTTCAGTGAAACAGCTGAATGCCATCACCTCTGTAAAAAAAATATTGCAACACATACAGGCAGATGCTTGACTTCCTGAACCACTGAAATGTATTAAAATAAAGGTTTTACTGACCATCGTCCAGAATAACCAGAAGGGGGGCCAGCAAATCACACATGCCCTGAACGTAACCTATATCCAGATGCTGCCACACGTAACTGCAACAAACCAAACACATTTTTTTAATTAAAGGCCTCATATTCATTGAATGCGTGCATATCGCCCACTGCTTTTTATGCCAATGTTGTAGATCAGCTCATATTGGGAAATGATGAAGTTTTAGCCTTTTGGGTCAAACCTTAATAATAACACTGCAAAATCCTATGCAACAATAGCATCACACCAAACTTTAGCTGATTCTGTGATATTCCCTGAGACATAACCATATTTGTGTAGTTTAAGGTCGATTAGCTGTGGTATCTAAAAATGTTCTGAATCCAAATGTTAATCAGTTGTAGCTATACAGCCAATAATAACTGTCTGATGGTTTCATCTTCTGCTCAGTTGATATATTTTGTTAACAGACAAACAGGGTTGACCCCAACCAATAATGCCAAGGTTTTCAGCAAAGATGTCCCCCCATACGTTGTCATAGCATGTGTTAAAGACAATAATCAGCTGTTACCAAACCAAATTTTAGTTTCATATCTGTTCAATCGATTGATTTATGAACATTTTTGTGTTTTCTATGTTAGGTTGGCTCTGGCGACTATTTTAAATTGAACTGAATTCAAAAGGAAATCTACCTGTACATGGGCACACAATAATTACTTTCTGAACTTTTCATTAAAATCCATCCTCGGATTTAAGGAATATTTTGCTAACAGACAGAAAGGTGATTTAAGATTTTTTTTAATGTCACTTGAAATGAAATTTAAGACCAACTTCACAATAAACAAAAATGTAAAAAAAACAATTTTACCTAAATGGTTGTTTTAGTACAAAACAACTAACTGCAGTAAATTTGGTAAATTATTTAAAAAATGTTAACAATTATTTTAATATTTGAGACAAATACAATCATCTGTCTTACAACTCAACATTTTTAAGACCTGTGAAAGATTGATTTAAGGCTAACTAAGGCTTTATTTTGAATTGATGAAGTCAACGCCTTTTAAGACTTTTTAAGGATCCATGGGAATCCTGTAAACAGTTAATGCCAAAGTTTGAAAATAAAACCTTGCTGTATCAGTCAGCACTTACAGTAAGAGTAGGAGCTCAATATAAGCTGCTGTAGCAAATTGTAGCTCACTGTCAGTAAAAATAACTGAATCTTTTTAGTTCGTTTTCAAATCGTTTTCTAAGATTTCTCTCCTGCGGCAGCCATCTTGAATTGGTTAGCTTGAAGCTTTTTTAGTTGAGGATGTACATTTAGTGAAACTTCCTTGGAGTTTCGTTAAAATTTGCTCTGCAATGCATTAAATATTTTGCTAACAATACAAACAAGCAAAAACTACATCATCCTGTTAGCGTGGGCAGCGGGGGATAGATTTTTCTTTCCGTTTGGAAACAAACCCCACCAGGTATTTGACGTTCACCTGCACATGATGTTATGCAGCTTCTCCAGGTTTTCAGGAGTGAAGTACCAATACGTCCGATCACAGCGTCTCACATCTTTGTCAATGCGATGCAAGTTGATCAAGTACATGTCCAGCGTTTCTTGCTTAAGAAATAAAGACAACATCTATTAGGTGAAAGTTTATGGCAGAAACAATACATGGTTTGTCATATTTGATACTTACAGAATAGGTTTGCTCCTCTGAGGATTCTTCATATTTGCCACCTCCCATGTCTGTAGACTCCTGTTCAGTCAGGACATTGTCCATCTCTGGCTCGTCCTCCGAAAGGCCCAGATCAGTGACTTCTGGACTGGTGTTACAAGCCGTGTCCAGATGTTGATCTTGGACAAAACTGTCAGATGCTATTTTTTCTCTCTGCGCCAAGGGGACCGGAGGGGCAGCGAGGCCCATCAAAGGCCTGGCCCTGATGTCCTCTGAAGTCACACAGGTTATCCCTGCAGGGATGTCCTCCATTTCCAGCGCAGACGGAGAGTCGTCGGAATCAGCCGTGTCCGGAGACTGTCGAGGGTGAGACAGGGAGAGGCCGCCCCTCGACGCTGACTGGAGAGCATTCAGAACTTGTCTGACTGGAGAATTTGAGCCGGGCTTCTCAAATGGCATCTCTGCAGCTTTTTTGGTTTCGGCAAAGTCACAAACCGTTGTTTCTGCGTTTTCGTTTGTTTTACTTTGCGAGTCAGTGTTTTCTCCTTCTACATCCCTGTTCTTACTCACTTGAAAAGCTAAGGTCTGCCCAAGGGGAGGTGCTTGGAAATACTCATTATGGATCTCCGTTTCCAGCTTCAGAACATTAGTATTCTCTGGAGCAGATTTCACATTCATATTTGTTTCGACTGCTTTTACAACTACATGAGTCTGAATTTCTTTATTCTCAGCTTCCGATATCTCCTCTAGCTTATCTTTTTGTGTCTTTGCAGCTTCTTCACTTTCTAAATTTGTCTCCATCTTCTTCATTACAGCCTCTTCCTCAGGAACTGACGGTTTCCCATCTTTTTGTTCTGATTCACATGAAAGGAGATGACTTTTTCCCGACTCTGAATCAGCTGTAGTTTCACCACCAAATGCCTCTGGAGTTTTGTCAGTCTGCTGAGTGGCTGAAGGTTCAGCTGTTAACTCAGTTTTGAGAGGATTTTTGGAACCTGGGTTCTGGTTTGACACATCAGGGGAAGAGGACTCGCAGGGGACAAACTGTGGACCATCCGTGGTCTTCCCAAGGCTGCTGTGCTGCGTTTCTTCTCCTTCAGCCATGGATTCAGCCTCCACTGATTCAAATACCTTGTAGCAGATAGGAAAAACAAAGAATAAGCATATTATTTTGGATCCTGTATTGAAATGAGCTGGTGTTAAGCTTATTTTAAGATGTCCCCTTGTATAAATTTCATACAATTTTACCACACTAAAATAATCCCTCTAACACTCCCGATTGTGTTCATCTGTTTCTCTGTGGACATTTCTGCTGCATTTACAATTTTTTTTATATTTAGACAAACAAAAAACAGCAATCTATCACTGTAAAGATTAAAGGTATATTATGACTAAGAATAAGACTAGAAGCTGAAAATAGAAGCCACAATAGACAAATGTCCCTAATGGCTGCTGGCTGCAGTATACATTTTAAGCCCCACACCTCTAAGTAAAAAAATGGGACATTTTTCTGACTAAAAAATTTAAATAAAGTTGAATCTTTTCACTTTTTAGTAGATCATTTTTGCTGATTCAATGATCCTGCTGTATGTTCAAATTTGTTATTTTTTTAAAGCATTAAGTTTCAATTCCATGTTGAGGCTTAGAAAAAATGTCAAGTCTCGGTGACTGACAGAGCGACAGCCTGTCAGTGAGTTGGGAGGGCAGGAAATAATAGTTAAATCACATAAATTTTAAATTTCTGGAAACGGTATTTGGGTTTTACAGTTGATTACCAGTCTGGGGCAGTTTGATTTTCATTAATTAAAAAAAAACTTTTTGTAACATAACTACACAACAATGTTTATAAATGTTAAGTTAAATTTTGTCAAAGGAAAGATTTTAAATTAGTTACTTTCTGTTGCATTTTGCAGAAACAAAAAAAAATTGTTTTCTTTGAAAAAAAAAGTTTTGATGTTCATTCATAAGATAACTACCTGTGCACTGCTGCTGGAGTCACTTTGTGACTGGACATTCGGTTGGTCTGAGCTGCAACTTAAAGACGACTATAACATCACACAACAGAGAAAAAAAACAGAAATGTAAGTTTGAAAATTTCCTCTATGAAACATGCATTTTCATATGTGCTACATTTTAATAAGTGTTAACTTGCATCTGTGCTGATGGTGGAGTCCCGTTGCACAGGTCCTCGTTCCACACTGGCACCAGACAAACATCTCGCAAGGGCCTCTGCGTGCTTCTCCCTCTCCCTCTGACGGACGATGACCTCGCAGCCCTGCCACTCCTTCACAGTCTGTTCGTACATGCTTCGCATCTTCTCATCAATCTGAACCACAAAGAATATAAGATTCTAAAAAATACCAGGGTGCGTGGAAGGATATTTGAACGTCGACGTGACATACCTCCAGCCTGCATTTCTCGCTCATGTTGAACTGGTAATGTCCCAACAAAAAGGGCCAGACGTCTTTGCGAAGCGACGGGGCCACCCCACCAAAATACACAAGCCTGTGTATCTCCTTTTCCTCATAGGCCTAAAACACAATTTTTTTAAATTAAATAATATATATTAAGAAATGATTTCTAAATAACAACATGGGAATCTTACAGAGCTGTCTCTGAGGAAACTGGTCCAAACTTCCACAGTGAGGCCACCTCGAGCGTCTTGTGGAACATCAGGGTCAACTATGACGGTGTTGACCAGTGCAGAAAGGTGCGTACGGACTGTGGACAAGTGGCGACAGTAAGCAAGCCCTGTGCAAAAGAGATAATGAGAGTTCATGATCAGTTCTCAATGGTCATCTAATATTAAAAACCTTACTGTCTCATATTTTCCAGACAGAGCACTTCACTCACAGGTTTACTTGTGGTTCCTCGAGTTTCTAAAAGTAGAATGGGAGGCAGAGCTTTCAGTTATCAAGCTCCTCTCTTGTGGAACCAACTTCCAGTTTCTGTCTGTGAGGCTGACACTCTGTCTACGTTTAAGATTAGACTGAAGACATTCTTTTTTGATAAATCCTATAGTTAGGCTTAGGTTTCCTGAGTTATTCCTTAGTTATAATGCTATAGGCTTAGCTGGTTGAGGCAGATGGCCGCCTGTTCTGAGCCTGGTTCTGCTGTTTCTTCCTGTTAAAAGGGAGTTTTTCCTCTCCACTGTCACCAATGTGCTGCTCAGGGTGGACGAATGTGACAAAGTGATGATTTAACACAATTCGCTGGCTTTTTTAGATTTATAGTTTTTTGTGTACAGTGCCCTGTCACGACATTTGTTGTGACTTTGCACTCACTCTAGTCTCCATGTTTGCATTCATAACTATTTGTATCATAAACATGAACTTTTCGTTGTCTTTCTGCCCATAGAAACCACACCTGGACCAGCTTTTCTGTGTTTATCTGGGTCTTTTTCCTGTCCTCTAATCCCAGCCTGTCAGGCAAATGGACGTCCCTCTTGGTTCTGGTTCTACTGGAGGTTTCTTCCTGCTAAAAGGGAGTTTTTCCTTTCCACTTTCACAAATGTGCTGGTCAGGATGGGAGACTGTGATGAAGTGAAGAATCAATACAATCTGCTGGCTTCTTTAGAAATAACTTTTACTAATTGATGTTTTACGATGTATGTGAATATTTTTGTACAATGCCCTGAGTTGACTTTTGTTGTGAACTATCACGATATAAATAAACTGAATTGACCAAATGAGACCACATGAGACTTTAATAATTTGCAAACTCTTAAAGCATGAAATAAAAACAATCAAACAAAAAAGCTGTAAAAACTCACATCCATAGAATGCACGGGAGATTATTTGGTGTTTCATTGTGTCACAAAGGAGCTTTATAGGAGCCCTGGAAAAGTTGGAAAAGGACAAATTTAGTCAAGTGGAATAATTTGAAAGTAAATTAAAGTCAGTCTTAGTTTTACCTCTCGTGATTACATCCATTAGGCAAAGAACCATCAGAGGAGTCATTCTGTGAGCAGGAGGAGCACGAGGACTTTCTAGGGGTTGGTTGCCACATATTAACACCCTGATCTATCATCTCCAGAGGCACTGAGAAGCATAATGGCTTATCATTACTATTGCTATTAATGACATTGAAAGAGAGTCGTTAAGAACCAAAAAAAAAAAAGGAAACCGGAAAAACAAACCACAAATGAGGTTGGCAATGAAGATGAGACAAACAATGTCCATGCAAAGACTAAAATGAACACAGACAAGAACTCTAGTGCTTTAACATTAGACATCTTTAAAGATTCTTTATTGAATTATCATTTGGAGGCAGAATAGGAAGACACTTACTAAACTCCATCTGATGGCCGGGAAAGATGATCCGAAACACATAATCGGTTGCTTCATCGTCCTCTTTATCCGATACAGAATCACATGAACTGTGGGGACTTCTCTTTCGCAGTTTAGGGAAAACCTTTCCCTGCACAAAAAGGCAGAGTATTCATATGCCAACTCTAAACCATATACTGTTTGAAGTAAATTATTTTTAAATGCATGTAATAATGAGTGATTAAGACTAACCTTTCCTCGTTGATTCCAGAGTGGAGGGTCCAGCTGACCATGAGGAAGCAGGCCGGTCTCGAGGCATGTAAGAAACTGCAGCAGGTGGCCCCCTTTGGGAAAATGCAGGGGAGGTCTCTGGATTCCATCTTGGCTCACCAGCACAACTGTCCCACCACAGTTCACTAGATAAATTAGCATAGTAATGTTTAATAACAACTAAAGTCATGTTTTTTTTGGGGGGGGGACTTGTGGAAAATTCTGGTTTATGATACCTTGCTGATGACAGTGGAGATATACAATCTCCTCCAAACGAATTGTCATAGCATAATCCCAGAAAACACTGAAGAAACATGGGTAATTAGGAGAATGGGTGAAAAAGGTTTATTTTATTTTATTTTATTTTTTGGTAATGGCTTGTGTTTTAACCTCTTTTCGGAATCTAGCTCTCCAACGTTGCCATTCATGAGTTGATTGGGAGTCCACTTCAGGGTCATGACATCTGCGGTCTGATGAAGAGAGAGGTAACCCGGTATGGCTTCCATCCCGTCTTTCTGCAAGAACAAACCAACCCTGAGAAAACTCAACACTTTTTCATAGTAGCACCATAAAGTCAGGGCAATCCATTGTTTTTTTTTCTCATAGACCAAACAAACAATGGAAGAAAACTGCTACACACCGGCTGCACCAGAACGTTGTTCTTTCCAAACAGCAGCGTGGCTCTGGAGTTTTGGTGAAGGGATTCAACATATTCTCTGGCCCACAGAAGAGGCCGATCATCCATGCTACCACTGGACTGTCTCTTTTGGATCTGAAAGTTCAAGAAATCAGAAAGGTCGCACACGCCGAAGCCAAAATGCAGGACTGGTTTTCTGAGTTATTTGTCTATCCTACCAGGGCAGGCCTTCTGGAGGGAGAGTCCTGCCGACAGTGGCCACTGTGGATTCGATGCCGCTGTACGAGCTCATCAGCTGACGGATCGGTCCAGAAATGGTCAGCGGTCTTAACTTTGGTGTATTCCAAAGCACAGGGACCAACTGTAGAGCAAAGTTAGCAGGTGTAAACCAGAACTCTGAATGGTTAAATGTCTAAATTGAAAGTTGGCAGTAAGAGAAAGTACCCAGAAGAGATGCAAGGATTGGTCCATCCACAGGATCCATTAGCATGGCTCCTTTATCATAAAACGCACTGAAGCAAATCATAATAACACAACATACACATGCAGGGAATATATCAGTTTTAAAGTAGACATCTCGTGCTTTTAACTCCTTTCTTTTCACATTTAAATCATTCACATGTGGTCTTTATAAAGTGGAACTACAATGCTTTGGTCTGAATTCCTTCTTATTCTAACTTTACCAGCCCCTCCTTGACCCCTTTTCTGGTGTGTGCCTCAAAGCGCTTGTTACTGTTCCTTTAAGACATTCAAGCCCCACCCCCCTCTGGCTTCTAGACTGGTCCACTACTGTTTTGGAGGTGGTAGTGGTGGGGTGGTGTTATGTTTTCTAGCTTGCAGAAATGTTTCATTTACAAATTAATTAAAAGATGTCAGCAACAGAAGACTTGTCCATCCAGCCTTACATGTCGGACCCAGAACCAGAGCAGAATTAAAGCGAGGAAATTGTAGTTGGCCAGACCTTATTTGGCAGTTTTGTCGCAGATAATTTGACATAACAGACTCAGAACTGAACGGGCTGAAAAATATGACCCAAACAGAATATAAAGATATCTTTGCAGCACCAGGAGAAACTAAATTAAACTTTTCTGCATGCCCAGAGACTAAGTACACGATAAAATGTATTTAACAGCTAAAAAAAGTGGATTTTGCATGATATGTCCCCTTTAAAGGAAGTAAATAATCACATTTCTGCTTTGAAATAACTTCACCTTCAGAATATTGTAATTTTGTTTTCAAAACCGGAGACTGACAAATGTGATAATTAAGTAGCAACAATACCTGCTGTTTTCTACCAAGTACAGAACGATCCTGTCCAGGAGCTTCTCCATCAACGCTGTTCGAATCCACAGATGTTTCAGTGCCTGAGGAGGAAGGTTGGGCAACTTCGACAATCGGCTGCGATCATTACTCAGCGAGGAATTGTTCTGCTTGCTAATGAAAATAATGAAGAAACAGAAAAAATATATAATTGATAAACCGATGTGGAAAAAAAAAAAGAATAGATGCAATGTGGCACTAAATATTTTGGTGCATCAAAAGGGAAATTTGACCCTTTTTTCCAATTCTACAGTCGATCTGGATGTGAATTTGGGGTTTTACAATTTGCTGTTGTTAAAGTTTCAGCTGTTGAGTAACAGGTTACAATCTTACTTTGTAATTCCTCTGACCTCAAAACAGCTCCAGATGATGGTGCTACACCACCATGCACACTACTAAAACTATCTCTTTGGGATTTCTTACCTCATTTATACTGATTTAAACAACTCAAAAAAAAAAAAAAAAAAAACCACAGTGCTCTCACAAAACTTTATTTGAGCTTCAAACTTGTGGGCCTCAAAAATTCTCAAAAATGTCTGCTGTCATGTTACTCCGAGCTGTGAAAAGAACACTACAATGATACTAATATATATATAT